TTGTGGGGGAGGCCAGGAGGGGTTAGGGAGGAGGGGGAGCGGTAGGGGGCAGGGATGTAAGAATAATGCTGCTGCAGTGCCTAGGAGGGCTCCTGGTGAGCAGCCGCTGGAGTGGGGGATGATGGGAACAAAGCAGCTTTTGAGTGAAGCTCAGTGAGCATGTCTACATGTGTGCTTTAATGTGCAGTAGCCTATTCTACTGCACATTAAAGTGGTGCATAAAAAACCATGCTAATACTCTAATGCACAGTAGAATAGGCTACTATGCATTAAGCGTCACCTAAAAAAGCATGGGCTTGTGCTACTGTGCATTAGCACAGCTTAATGCACATTTATTTAGAACCTCATATTGGAGGTATTAAATTTTATGTGCATTAGGAAAAGCACATTAATACACATGTAAACCTGCCCAGTCAGGCTCAGACTCATGCCTCTAGAACTGCAGCAAGGCACCTTACCGCCACACCACAAGTAAAAAGACATATATTTTAATCAAAATTCTTCATCCCACCTTAAGCTTGCCTGAATTTTTGTCCAGGATGAAGATGCTTGGCAACTTCAGGCAGAATTCTGTTTTGCTGGTGGGAAGCCAAAGTGCGATTTGTGACCAAGTCTGAGTTTCCCATCTAAAATATCAGAGCAATTCTTTTGTCCTTTCTAAGCATACAAGTGCTCCTATTATAGATCCAGCTCAATATCTACACATTTCCAAAGGGTGGCCCTATTTCTATGGTAGGGGCACTGGCCCGCCCAGAGAGGGTAACAAAATCATGCCTATGCTTTAGTTGGGTAACTCAGGTTACAGGCTGCACTTGGATCACCCACTTGGTCAGTAGAATTATGCCCTTGTGTGAAGGAGAACTTGAAAATGCCTTGTGAGGGTCTTGGAAAGGGAAAACTTCCTGAGCCAGATTCTACACTTACTAGATGCCTACTAGACGTACGTGCTTAAGGATGTAAACAAATTTAACATTTCTACATGGCCATTGTTCTGCTTCAGGTATCTATGCAACGGGAAGGACAAAATGTATTAATGCCTTTTCCAGGGACATTGTGGTTTGCTGCTGTAAGGTTATTGTGACTCATTCCAGAGACAAGCCTGTCAGGCTATGCACTCTTGCTGGCCACCTACTGGTAGAGGAGCAGCGATGGAGTTTGAAAGAGCTATAGAAATACATGTCTGTGCCACTCCTGCTTTGATGTGTGTCAAAACTGAGACAATCAGGACCAGCCAAACTAGCATATGTTAACAGCTGTGATTTTTTTCCTCTATGTTTGAGTCTTTTAAAAACACAGTAATACAAAAGATAGGAGGGTCCTTCTCCTTGCTGCTTTTTTTTTTTTTTTGTGTGTGTGATCTTAAGGGTCAGTTGATGACATGTTACAAAAGTGAAGCAGAATGGAATAGAATCTGGCCCAGAAAGTCTTCCCTTTCCAAGGATCTCACAAAGCATTTTCAGGTTCTCCTGACCCCAAGTTCAGTGCCTGCATGTGTCCCTCTTTGGTGTTAATACAACTTACAGTCAACACATGGACTGGAAAATTTGAGGTGGAAATGAGGCAGTCGCTGTACTCCTGTAGTAGAAGAGAGTGCATGGGCAGAAATATCTTGTTGAGAATACCCTTGTGCAGCCATACAGAGATAATAGGACCCTGGAGATGCACAATACCATTATCAGTGTACTGCGAAGTTTCACAATACGTGTTCGGTTATGTGAAGTTTTGCAGTGCATGTTTCACAAGTTATGGTTTCCATAACTTGTCGCATTCGCATCGTAGCCCTTAAAATGACTGTATTAGTGTTTGAAGAAGTGTTTTAAATAAAGTATTTGGTTCCGTACTACTTTTATAAGGGAGCGCTTTGAAACAAAGCCGGGGCAGAGACATACACTGAAAACATGTAATAAAGTCTCATTAACACATGAAATCACTACACTACACAATTTTCATGGCAGAGCTTCATCTTTCCCATGTGTCACCCATATAATGCTTTCTTTATCTTACTCTCCAGGACCAAGCCCAGGTTATTTATGGTACATTTTTTTTCAGGGCAGCAAACCACCTGTTTTTGAGTCCACTAGTGCTGAAAGCTTTCACATGTGCTGTTATATAGTGCACATTATGTCCCAGTAAGTATGCTGACATTAAATAAGTTTGTAGGCGGTACCACTCTGACTGCATTAACCAAAGACAGATTATACCTCTGTCCTACAAATTCCAAATAGGAAATTCAACCTCCTTCTCACAGGTGTTTCTACATCAAGTTACAACTTCCTGAGCCAGGGTTGGGTGCCCTATGGCACAGGTGCCCTACTGAGATCCATATCATTTGGAGGGACAGAAGTCATTTCTTGGCCAAACAGTTAAACCTCAGATCTCTAGAGCAAAGTTGTAATGAATCTTGCTGGTGTTTGTGAGCCTGACTATGGATGATGAAGGCCTGCAAGTTACTTGTGTCATGCCCTGTAACTCCATCTAGTTGAAGATGCTCATGCTCAAATCACATAACCCCTGTGGATCTCTCTAATTAAACATGACACAGAAAAGACTTTTTGTCCCTGTGCTCCTGTCACTGTTTCCTGAAGCCTTGCCCTTCCCATCTGAACTGAGGTGACTCTATTTCTCTCTGGACTTGTCTAAATGTGCTATTAGCCTGCAGCACTAAACTCCAGTGTGTATAACACCAGAATTTCTTGTTCCTGGGCACTGCATTTACATGTATGCCCCCAGACTGCAGCACACTTAGCTCAGTCGGAGCAGCCCCAGCTGGCAGAGAGCCTGGGTGGGGAGTCAGCTTGCCACCCCAGGGCTGCTCCTACTTAGCTCAACATACCATGGAGGGGCTGGCTGGGGCACAAGTGCACTCCAGTGTGGGGCTGGCCAGTAGGCAGTCCCCGCCCTGAAGCATCTTCATGTCCCAGCCAGCCACATCAGTGTCTACATGTGCAGTGCTGTAAAGTAAAAACAACTCTGCAGCAGGATAGTAACTTGTAACTAATTAACTGCAGGTTTTTTAGTATTCTGCAGCCTAATAGGCCCACATGTCTAGATGCGAGAATTTACTGAGGAGCTAATAAGTCTACAGTAAAGATCTCATGTAGACACACCCACTGGCACCTTGTTTTCCTTTCACTCCTTCCAATGCTTTTTCTGAGGCTCCCCATATGATAAAAACCTCTGCTAGGCCTCTCCCATGCAAAATGGTTCATCCTATTTCTTTTTGATGTCTAACCTTACTGCTTCTTTTCACTTTCCCTAAATCTGTTGAGCCACTGACTCTAGCAAGGGATTCACTTCCATGAGTCTGTTGGCAGCAATTCTACTTATGCAGCCCAGTATGCTGTTAGCTTTCTTGGGCACACTGTGGCTCATGTTCAGCTTATTGTCTGCTGTAACCCCGGGTCCTTTTCCACAGAGCTGCTGCTTAGCCACTCCACCCCCAGCCTGTACCAGCGCATGGGATTGTTCCATCCTAAATTCAGGACTTTGCACTTGTCCTTGTTGAACCTTATGAGATTTCTTTTGGTCCAATCTTCCAATTTGTCTAGTTACTCTGAATCCTACCCCTAAACTTCTGGTGTACCTACTACTTCCCCCAGTTTGGTGTCTTCTGCAAATCTGCTGAGGGTGCACTGGATCCCATCTTCAGGGTCATTGATTAAAATATTAAACAAAAACCAGCCCCAGGACCAAGCCCTGGGACACTCCATTTGATATCTGCTTCCAACTAGACATCAAGCCATTGATTAAAACCCTCTTTGAGTCTAACAATCCAGCCAGTGTTCTGCCTATCTTACAGTCTATTTATCCAACCAACACTTCCTTAGCTTGCTTGTAAGAATGTTGTTGAAGACTATCAAAAGCCTTGTTAAAGTCAATATATATTAGATCCACTGCTCTCCCCTTATCCACAGAGCTAGTGGTCTCATCATAGAAGTCAATCAGGTCGGTCAGGCATGACTTGTCCTTGATGAATCCAAGCTGACTGTTTCTAATCACCTTCTACTCCGCAGCAATACACTCATGAAGAGGGATTGTTCAAAAAGTATAGGTTTTCTAATACCTGATATTTGGCAATACAGCAGGAAAAAACCCTTTTTATGGCTAACCTGAAGAGAAGATACTATTTTTTCTAGTAAATTAAAAAATTAAAATAATGTAAAAAAAAAAATAACTATCAGTTGACTAAAAACAAAATATTTAATTTCATTTTTTAAAATGAAAATCAAAGCAGATTTCAAAAAGAGGCATATTATTGAGATTAGTTTGGTTTTCTGGTTTAAAATTATTATTTTTCAAAAAATAAAATGATCTATCCAAGGTTCATCATGCCCTTTGATAATCAATTATACATTTAATACAATGAATTAAATCAAAGCACCATCGAAATCCTCAGCTCCACAGGAAAACAGCCAGACAGCATCTTCACCCTTTCATTAATAGGTAAATTTATTCCCAGGCCTGTCCAAGACTCCTTGCAAGTACAAGTGTATTAGGAGTGAGCAGCACTCCCGAAAGGATGGTCCAGGTGGTAGGATGTTCTGAGATTCAGATTCACCTTCCTCCTCTGCTACTGACAATGTTCACAACCTTGGAGAAATCATCTGGTCTTTTTATGCCTCCATTCCCCATCTGCAAAATGAAGAAAACAGCAGACTGGGGGGGAGGGAGGGGACATATTCTCAGATACTTGACTGCTGTAGTAATGGGTGTCTAAAATAAAGAGCATTTCCCTTCTTCTGAAGCATCTGCCAACAGGCAAGATGAAACTTGAGTTGATTTCAGTATAGTAAACACCTACCTACATTCCAACGACATGCAGTTCCCTTGTACAGTTTATGTCTGCTGTCACTAGGTCAGGGTCATAAATAGTTTTTTTGTACCTTAGATTCTTGGCAAACAAACTAACTATCTGATAGAACTACTGCTTAGTGATGGATATGGAACTTCAGATATGCTGAAGTCATCCTTAAATTTATCATGCAAAAGATAGAATAGATGGGAAGTGATCTTTCCCCCCATAAAATATTGCATTTTCCCTATCTTTCCTGTGCAGATTGAAAACTCAGAGAATGTATAGATATGAATCCACTGAGAAATCCCTAAGAGCACATTAGAATAATTAACTTAAGCTGCATTTCTCTTCCCTCAATATCACTCATTCATATTAGAAGACATCATAGGAACATTTTAGCTGAGCAGCCTGAGTGAACAGGTGGCAACTGAGCCAGCTAGGCATTTAGAAAGCTTTATTTTTACCAAGGTAAATTTTGCAATATAGCCCAGCACTTTGGGGAAAGTAAATTTCTCAGAAAACAGCTACACAGCAGGAAATCAAGTTCAGAATCTTTATTGTACCCTGGAAACTTTTCCTGTTTCCTGTAAATAGTGGCCAAAAGGGTGTCAGAGACACAGGTTTATTTGTTCTGTCTCAGTGTCATGGCGGGGTACTTTAGGAGGGCCGTGATCTCCTCGAGGTCCCTCGCTCTGTGTCAAGGCCGGCCCAAGACACCCTCTTATTCTCGCCCGCCATGTCTTTGCTGTTTATATATAAGGTTGGGAGGCTGCCTATGACTCCCTGGGCACGGCTACGCGGGAACTCTGTCCTGGCGGTTCTCCCGGACTCCTGTGGTCACCCGGTATGATGGGTGCTCCCTAAGCACCCTAGCCTTATGGGCTACGCGTGGCTCCTACCAACCCCTAATACCACGCCCCAAGCCTCGCTGATGGGACAGACGTTTGTGCGTCTGCACGCCCGCTTCCCGGGCTCTCTCTAACCCAATGTCCCTCACTGGGACTCTTGTCCACTCTGGGACTTCCTGTCTGGCCCTACGGTCTCTAAGGCCCGCTACACTACTACTCTCTCTGGTACGGGCTCCCCGCGCTGCTATCCCCTTTTGCTGGGGGACAGCTGCAGCACCTTGCCCTTCTCCTCAGGCCTATTACCGGGTTCGCCACACCCGTTCTGGGCTTCTTAAATATCGCCCTGCTCGGGCTCCTCAATATTGCCCCTCTCAGCTCATCAGTAATTGCCCCTCCTAGGGCTGGGGTCTATGCACCCCACAAGTGACACCCTTGCTGGCATCCGCCAGGCCCATCCTGGGCTCCCCAATATGGTGCTCCCCATCTTCAGGGCTCACCGTGCCCACCTTGGGCTTCTCAATAGACCAATATGGCACTCCCCCTCTTTGGGGCTCGCTGTGCCCGCCTTGGGCTTCTCAATGCTGCCCCACTCTGGGGCTGGGGTCTACATACCCCGCATACAACCCAGGGTCTATATTCCCCGCCCACAACCCACTGGTTGCGCTCACACCCTCTTAGCATTAGGGCACCCCACACTCTCTGGGGTCCCTATACAGATAATGCACCCACCGGGTGCTGGACTGCACCCTCACTGGTGCTGCACCCTCGCTGGCACTGGGGCCCCACCCCTCTGGGGTCCCTATGAGGCCTCCTCCAACCCCTACAGCCTCACCCAAGCCTCTGGTATAATATGTAAGCCAAACATAAACTAGAGCCCCCTGGCTAAACCATAGTGCCCAATCCTCTCTGGGCTATCATGAGCTGTACTTGCAAGTCAGGCTTCTTCCCATATCTTGGCTGAGGGAGCTCCTGCCTCTCCAGCTGCTGCCCAGGAACTGCCAGCCTGGCCTCAGCCCTGGACTTTATAAGGGCCAGGCCCTGCCCCCTACAGGCAGCTGACTCCCCTTAGTTGCTCCGGCAACCCGCAGCTGCACTTGTTACCTCGGCAGCCCTCAGCTGGGCTCATTATGCCATGCCAGGGCTCTGCCTCTCTCCCTAGCAGTTTCTCCTCTCTAGGAGCAGAGCACCTTGGTGCTCTGCGACACTCAGCTATTTCTGAAAATCAAGTTAAAGAATGATGGGACCAAAGGTGCAGTTTGCAAATCTCCATTTTGCTGGCATTGGGAGTGTACCCATTTAATGGCTGTTATTTAAGTAGAGATCTAATCATGCCACTGTGAACTTATAATCAAATCCTGCAGGCCGCAAACACATCAGTTAATGAGATCAGACAATAATTTATAATGTTAGCTTCTTACCAATTCCCTTCTTGCAGCCATCCCTCCCATTTTTGGATTAAGGTCCTGTTTTGTAGGGAAGTGTGTTTCATGGGAAATCTTATCTTGTCACCCCCTCTGACCCACCTGTGCTCACTTCAGGAGTGAATACAGGCACTCCCTGTCCTCTGTGCTGCATATGGCTGCCCATTTTGTCTTAGGTGAGGAAGAGAAACAGGCTACTAAGAAAGTGGAAAGAATAGGATCTGTCCTTACGACAAACCACAAAATGTACAGGTGGTAATTCCTGCATGGGTCAGGCCTTTGGACATGGCTTCCACCTGATGTAATTGTGATAAATTGGTGTTCAAATAAATGAGCTACCACACATTAAGGAGATGGGTCTGGAGGATCTCTGTGGACCCTGGTGCGAATATTCCCAGCTCTCCCGCTTCACTCAGGGTGGGGTCATGCTGCTGCTGCTATTTCCAGATGAACCCTGCTATTCTAAGAAGAATGTAATGCAAACCATGGTGAGGATTAGAAGTATAGACCAAATTATGTTCTTGGTTTCAAAGGTATGAATGCAGAGTCATTTTGGGGCAACTTCTGAGTTATTCCAGATCCATATGGCTATAACTGAGCAACTTTTAGCCAATACACTGTGCAACTGTATTTTTACTCAGCATATTTGGTTGGTAGAGGCCAAATTCTGGTCACAGTTATACTAGCATAAATATAGAATTACACACCAGACTTAAATACTTTATTTTAGATTCACACTGGCGAAACTAGGATCAGCCCTATCAGTTTCCTAATCAAATTTGGTAATTATGCTTGTCAGCACTAGAAAGCCAATGTGGCTTTGCAGCCAAACTGCTTTCTTCCTCAGCCTTCAACACAGGGTCAGGAAATTTCTAATCTGAGCATCTTTATTGCTCAGTGAGCGCATCTACACGAGATGGTAGGTCACATTGCGATGAGCTGCGGTGATGTAGCTCATCACTATGGTGACACAGCATTGGTAGGTATGAACCATGGTGCCACCGCTACTGTGCTTATTGCTACTGTGCAGTAGGATCGGAAACAACCCCTGGGTACCAGGACTGTGCAGTAACGGAAGTTTAGCAAGTACTAAATGACTGCACTATAGCAACTGCTCAGCCAGGCACTCATGTAGACATGCACAGGATACAGCAGGAGGTACATCACAGTTTGATGTATTAGCTAATGTTTATGCAGTGGTTTGAAACCTCTAAAGTGATATATAAGGGCTAAGAATGATTACAATATTTTGATTCTGGGATGAATTTGAATTGCTGGCTGTTGGAAATATTTTGCATGTAAACTGAGCCAATCTGAGTGGGCATTAGAAGGGGTGGCAGTTAAAGGTGGCCTTGGATCCAAACCTTCTCAGATTACTGGGCTGCTTGTACCCAAACCCACATCAGAATTTTGAAAATGGCCCCATTTATATAATGGGATAATCCAGGAACTCTCTCCTCCCCTGTCTGAACTCCTTTTCCCTCCCCTTTTTGACACATCTGAAACATTTAAATCCACATCCAAAATATATCTCTCCCCACAGAGTTATTGACACTTTTCTGAAAATTTTTTCTCGATAGTTCACTCACTTTTTCTGGCCACCCTATTAGGTAATGGTAATTCCTGACTTTAGTTCTGGCACACCTATTGCTCTTTATGCATCAACTGTGTTAGCAGAAGCAGGACTATGCAGAAGGCTTAAGAGGCCTTCCCTAATGACTACAACACATTATAGCATAATTAGGCTGGGGTGAAGAAGGAACCGGCTCCTGGAGCAAATTTAGAGGGGGGACTAAAATGGCAACCAACCAGGGAGTCTGTGTACCAACCTCAGCCCCAGCCAGGCTTCAACCACAACCCCAGCCCTAGTGAGACTGTGAAGGGAGCTAGCTCCAGCCCCAGCCCTGGTCCCAGTCCCAGTGAGACAGAGTGTATAGAGTGACCACCTGTCCCTAATTGGGTGGGACAGTCCTGGAATGGGATCATCAAATCCTGGTCCTGGGCTGCACGACTCCGGGACAGCATTTGTCCTGGATTCGCAGCATCCTGCAGGAATCAGTTTCCCCTTGCAGGCTGGCAGCATTCCAGCCTGCAAGGGGATGTCTGGGGCTGTTGAAAGCAGAACACAGGTGGCACCATGCGCACATGCATGCCCACGGACATGCATATGACTGCTAAAGAGCCAGGTAACATGGAGAGCAGCACCCCGCAGGTAGGTCTATGCGGCGTGGAGTGGGTTTGGGAGGGACAGATTGAGGCCTGCACAATGAGGGAGGAATTGGAGCTGGGAGCACTACCCAGCCACAGTGATGTATGGTGCCTTTGGGCTGGGGTGAGGAGGAGGACAGAGCCATGAGCAGCTCATCCAGGGAGCACAGGGGAGGGTGTCTCCGGGGGGAAGGAGGGGTGCACATGCCCATCAGATTTGTGCATGGGGTGGGGGTAGATGCAGACTGCCTGCTACAGGCTTGGGGCTCCCTGCCCTGGTGCCTTTCCTCCTAAGAGCCCTGTGCTGCTATGGTGAAATGCCCCCCGCCTGCCCAGCAGCAGCAGTGGGGGAGTGACAGCACCATGGATGAAAAGCAGTGGGGCAGTTAGGGTCAAAGCTAGAACCCAGCTACATCTCACTTCCTGAGGAACATCCATCTCACTGAGCCACATATCTTCTGACTTCCTTGCTGCCTCCTGGTCCCATATATGTACTTCTCTTGGCTGCCATGAGACCAGATGCAAGAAGAGGGCTGGAGAAGGTTTTGCATAGTATCTGACCTGTGCTATAGTGGTACAAGAATTGTGCTAGGAAGGTGTAAAATTGCACATTCAACCCCCTGCTGACCTAGAATCTAGGTCTCTCCTTTCGGCATACTTTCCCTTCTGCCTACTCTCCCTTTTTCCCTGCCCTACTCAGTCTACTATTGGGGATAGAATTACTGAGCGGGGAGGAGCCTCCTCTATCTTACACCTCTAAGTTATAGGTATCTCGTTTCCGCTGCTTTACTGACTTGGATGCACTTACATGGTTACAGTGGGCACCAGTATAGAGCCATCTACACATCCATGCTGCTGGGGAAACAGAATCACTACCTGAACACAAGTGCCAAGATAGCTATATCATACCTAGAAAACCATCATTTGGAAATAGGATTCTGCCCTACACATGCACAGTGAACACAGAGCAAACAAACATCCCCAGACATGCCATATGCTACACTTATATTCAGATCCATATGCTACACTTATATTTTATCCCATCAAAGAATTGGAACTCATGCTTTACATCATGGCTGTCCAACTTTGGTGCAGCTGCAGGGCTGCATGCAGCACTGGTGTGTGGCCCCTGAACTGTACACTGAGCAGGCCACAACCTGTGGGAGCTGCTACCCCAAGTGCCCTTTCTACGCCCACGTCAAAGCTGGTAGCATGTACCCCGCAGTGGGGTCAGAGTCAGTCTGGTGTAAAAGTTCCTTACTCCCTTTCTACACAAGGATAACTGTACTAATAATAAAGTACTAGTTGAACCCACGCTTTGCTACAGAAGTTTAATTTTTTTTAAAACCTTTTGTCATCATCATCTTCACTTTTTGGTTTATGCATCATTGCTTGTTCCAACTTCAAAAGCATTCAGATCATTGTTTCTATCTGTTTTTTTCTCTTGTAGACTCTAATTGAAATGTTTGACATCGGTGAGCTACCAGCTCCGCACACTACCCCCAACCTGGAGGCCAAGACCAGGGCCCCTTTAGCAGATGTTTTCACAGTTCCCTGGAAACCTTCATGGCGCTTTAACAATGTAGCAAACATTATTAGCTGCACTATTACTGGTATCTAGGCAATGTTTAGTCTTGAGTGAAGCATTTACTGAATGGCCTTCATCATTATATTACTATGAATTGCACATAGGTGAGAGGTGGGAAAAATACAGCCCATGGGCCGGATACAGCTCATCAAGCACTTTCATCTGGCCCGCAGGGCTCTCCAACAAATTGTGTCTGCTCACCCGTTCCACCCACAAGTACACACAGCCCCAAAAATGTACCATAATGCCTGGCTCACACCCTCATGGGCGGAGGGGCCTGGCTGGCCAGTGTGCAGCTTCTGTGCAGGGCTGCTTCTGCTGCAGCCCCCAGGACCTGCTTGCCTCCCTGGTTTCCTGCTGGCTCCAGGCAGCAGGTAGGGAAGCAGCGGGAGTGGGGCTGCAGCTGGGAGGGAGCCCAGAGCATGGGGCTGGGGCTGGTGACATTGTGGAGCCCGTGCCAATGGGGGCAGGGGCAGCAGCAGCACAAAGCTGGGGTGAGCAGCATGTGGGTTTAAGAGAGAATGGGGGTGTGGGGACCCCCCACATGCCCCCATAGCATGCAGCCCTGGTAGGTAGTGGCAGCAGCAGCAGGTGGGGTGCTCATAGCACAGGCGCCCTGCAGGGTGTGACTCTGGCCAGTACTGCACATCACAGCGAGGGGCACAGTCTCCATGTGGCTGCCTGTATTGCTGGTGCTCCCTGCCACTCACATGCAGCCCCTGCACCCATACAGCAGGGAGGGAAGCCTCAT